TAAATTAATTTTATATATATATATATATATATAAAACGAATCAATATAAAATGTTTTCCGATTTTTATTAAAAGATTTCTCAATAAATATAAGTGAAGGCAAATATTTTGTGAACTTTCTGGCTTTATCATATATATTTATATATATATTTTATAGAGATCATTTTCAAGAATATATGTAATATGCATTTGGTAAAGGTGTACGGTCAATCGATAAACGATATGCCGGTATACATATTATAGTCACGTGAAAACATGTGTGCAAAGCTTGACCTTTCATATAGTATAAAAAATCACGGTCTGATACACTTGAATTATCCCAAGTGTAATCAAGCGTTTTAGCCATTGAGAAATGCAACGGCACGTGTCTCTTGTGTTCTAATTTTAAACAAAAGTCGAAAATTGCAATATTTTCAAATATTTATAAACATTATTTATTATTAATAAAAATTTAATCATTTTTACAATCTACCCCGTCACTGTTACAACCTACCCCAGCGCGGGGCATGTTGTAACAGCTGATTTTTTTTTTCGACTTTTCTGCAAAAATAATGAACTTTTAAATTATTTTCTTTGCCTAAATTTACTGTACGAAAAGTTGATTTATTGATAAAACCATTGACTGTTATATAAAATATTTGATACATTTCACGATTATATAAAAAAATACTGAAAACTGTTACAACCAACCCCTAGCTCTCCTAGTAAGCAATTTGCGTCTATCTTTTCTTGCGAGAACATGAAAATTTCTTTCCGTCTGTTTCTTTGCAATATAAAATAACACTCGCGTGCTTGCATTTGAGTATAGAGAATCCTTATGTGACCTGTACTACTACAACTGTTTGTAGGAGTCTCGGAAGTACGTCGCGACGGAAAACCCCTGGCGTCTCTGTACCGTCGCGACGCTAACAAAACGGCCAACGATACAGCCGCACGCATTATATATAGTGAGCTTTCACATTCAACATTTCCAGTTATATTGCCAAACATTTAATAGTCCTTTATCCACATATTTTCTCGTTTCCATTTCTAAATAAATGAACCCATACATATATTATTTGAAATAATATGCGAACTTTAAACACGAAAAAAATTATTAAAGCAAAAAAGTAAGTTTGAAAATTATTATCATTTAAAGATTCATCAGGAAAAAATTGTTATAATGCATATTTTTAAACTTCAACCTTTCGATTGCAAAAGAATATTTTTTTCTACTTTTTTTTTTAACTCTCAGAGTACTAACATGGGTTAGTGTTATTAAAAAGAATAAATAATTATCTTAAATGATTTAAAAAAAAATAACAAATTTTTCTTTTTTAATTTTGTAAATAGTAGGGTAAAAGGTACAGTGACCGACACCAGCTATTAAAAACGATAATAACTATAGAAATAATAATATTTAATTAAATATCACTAGTAAATTAATTAATGTACGATATTTAGAAACTGATACAGTTGAAACAAAATTTTATATATTTATATTTTCCTCAATATTTTACTTTCTAGAAAACTAACCTCAAAAAATTTGCTTTATTGACTACAAATTTTTATAAATATGAAGAAATTGTTAAATAATTATATTTTAAAAGCAACTTTTTTTATACATTAAATCTGAATAATAAAATTTGTGATAATATTAATAAATATCATTTTACTTAAATAGTAGTTTAAATATTTTTCATTTTATTAAAAAATGTCGTTCATTGTTTTCATATTATACATTTTTAAATTAATATTATAAACTCTTATCAAAGAATTTTTTTAATTTTAAGCTTATGTACTATAAATTTTAATCGAAATCTTTTATTTGAAATTTATTTTATAACTAAATCTTTAATAAATTCTGATAAAATATAATTTAAAGTTGATAGTATGCCCAGGGTGTCGGTCACTGTACCCGTTACCGTAACTAACTCTTCATTTGTTGAAAATTTGCAATACATATTTATTATATAACTTTATGAATTACATTTATAATGACTCATCAGAAAATGCTTCGTTTTCGCTCATTTTTTAAAATAAACAGTTATAATTTAATAACAGTCACAAATTACAATCATTGAAATAAAACGAGGAATGCTCTCTGATTCTGAATACGTAAAATAGGTTAGGTACGTGGTTACCACTTGCAGGCGCACATTTTGTCATTCAACTGCTTCTTGCACTAAGAGATAGCGCCACATTCACTTCTATTATTACATTTTTTGCGTTAAATAATAGCAGGAGTGAAATAATGGACAATTTAGCACACTTTAAACAGATAAATAAAGTGTCTATTATTTTAAAAATTAGAAAAAAAAATATTTTTTTAGATACAAAATTTTATAATTTTTTGTGACACTAAATTTAAAATTAATTTACTTTGCAGTAAACTATATTTTAATTTTTCTACAAATACAAATTAGATTTTTGTTTCAATTTTACGAAATTGAAATTTTTGCAAAAAAAAAAAAAATTGTGTGAATGTATTTTTGGACATGTACCAGAAGAAGTTAAGAAGCCTTATTATGATATATATTTTCCACGGTAATTTACTTCACTGCTATTACACTTTTTTCAAAAGGGAGAGAGAGAGGGGGGGGGGAGAGAAAGCGAGAAAATAAATCGTCCCCTTTAAATGAATCATTACTTCTATATTATGTTTCAAAAGTTTTCCAGCAAAATTGGAATCAGGCTTGAGTATATACATACAACTATATATACTGCTATGAGTTGGAAAATGAAATTAGCTCAGACCGAGGAAATTGGTATGATAAGCAATATAACCATCTTTAAGCCAATATCTTCAAGAGAGTAAAGAGTATTTTATACAACCCTAAAATCGATCACCGGATATTTGATATATTCTACATAAAATCCTCAAGTTTATTATAATATAGTTTTATTATATAAAAACATAAAATGATTTTGTTTCACAAAACCTTTCATGTAATTTTAATATAAAATTAAAAAAACTTTAATACAAAAAATACGATGAAAAAAAAAATGTATTTGATTCAAATAATCGATTACTTGACTATTATCAAAAATAAATATTTATCTTGAACCAAATAACTTTTATTTGAATTAAATAAACTGTATTTGAACCAATAATTCCTGTATTTAAAACAACTACCATTTTATTGATTCAAATAATAATTATTTGGTTCAAATAAATATTTATTTGATAATAGTCAAGTAATCAATTATTTGAATCAAATAAAATTTTTTTTCAGTGTAAAATTCCTAAACAAAAAATTGATATAATTGTAATTACATTTATACAAACTAATAAAAAAAAGCCCTAATAATTATAATCTTTAATTTTGTATAAAACTTGTTAAAACTGATCCGCGTGGAATTATATGAAACATTCAAGAGTTTGAAACAAAACTGAGCTTTTATTACTTCATAACGATTACGAAAGGTAATCCGACTGCTCTTTCAGCTTTTATATAAGCAGGGTAAGAAATTGTTTTGTTTTTTTTTTTTTTTTTTTTTTGCGAAAATAAAAGAGGGAAAAACATTATTTGGCAAAAACTTTCAAGTTGCAGGATAGCTAGACTTTTAAATTCGTTGTGTGTGTGAATGTTTACAAATGTTCGTGAAAAGTACTAAGGCCGATTAAAGTAGGTAGTGTATATATACATATATATACAGAGCGACACGGACACAATCTTGAAATCACAAACTTGGAAAGAAAAACCAATTTCGAAGGAAGCTTTCCTAAAGTCCCACCAAATCCTGTCAGGATTTAAAACACCTGTGTTCACTTGATATTTTATTATTGGTGATTTTCGAATTTGATGATTGTTTACTTATTGCGAGAGAAATGTTTGAAACTTTTTCAATTCGATTAGTATTTATTCATAATTTTCAAATGTAAATTTTTCATCATTTTTTTTTTTATCATATATTTAAGTAAAAGAAGTAAAATGAAATGACTGAAAGTTAATAGAAATTTTCACTAATTTAAATTAGTGAACTAATTTTTATTAATTAAAAATTTAGAGATTTGTGAATTTTATGAATGAATAGTTTAGAATTTGCCAAGAATTATCGAAAACTTTCGAAATTTACTCCTCTATTAAAAAAAAGGAAGAGGTCAATTCTTTCTATTTCAAGGCTCAATAAATCCCATCCAAAAGCACACGTAATTGTTATCGCACCCTCATCCAAGAGTTCACCACACCGTAACGATAATGGAGAAGTTAACAGAGGGTGAAGATCTTCGAAGAAGCTGTTAGTTTTGCGCAACACTAACATTTTATGAAGTAAATTTAATTACCATAGCAACATATGCTTCCTGTTCCAAAAAAATATATAGATAAACATTTTTAATATAACCTAAAATATTTATTGAATTTCCTTGAAAGTAATATTAGAAAATTCGCAAAAGATATATATATATATATATATATATATATGGAAAATATAAATATAAGAATTGCTATTTCAAGAAAAAGCATGCACCCTCTTCTTGTTCTTCTTCAAAAGTATTTTGATTCCCTTGTAATATGAGTCAGTATTTTATAGTTTACGCAGAACGTGAAAAAAATATTGAATTGCAATCACGAAGTAACGCTTTCTTGTTTCTGAGAATCAAATTACATTTGCAGAATATACTTCTCATTCTATGGCCCTGAAAGTATTCCTTCAGCAAACACTTGCGGGAAAGTCTTGAATTCACTCGTATAACTCTTTACAAACCACTAGAGACTCGTGTTTTCTTTATTGTATATAATCTTTTTTTTTTTTATTTATTAATTTTTTTTTAAACCACACACATTATTTATTTAGTCATATGTTCACTTTTACATCAAGTTTACCCTTTTTTATATTTCAAAGAGAAATTTTTAAAAAATTAATTATAAATTTCCAAAGGAAAAATTTTTTTCAATCGTTGATCAGTTGTGAACTTTACCGATGAAAAATTTTTAAGAAAATGGAGTGTAAAATATTTTTTAAATTAATATAATATCTGTATTTTGTATACTAAATTTTGAATTTCTATATTTTCAGCGAGAGAATTAAAGACATGCGGAGGAATAAGTAGTGGAGGTGAAGTATGCTGTTCAGCGGATATGGAATTGCGACTACAGGCGAGAGCTCGAGATAAACATGAGAAAGCAACAAGAGACACTCTTCATCGACTGCAACAATTGCTCGTCACAAGAGGAACTAGATTTCACAGTAAGTAAATGCATCTATTCCTTATACAAATTTGTCTCTAAAATAGATTTAACATTAGAATTTCATTTACCTCTCTAATTCAATATATATATATATATCGTCGCGTCTTTATATCTTTATGAAAACAAAGTCAAATAACATGAATTCTATAATTTCAAAACACACAAAAGAACAATACATTTCAAGTTATATGTCGTAGTTTTTTCATATTTCACTTTTATATATCAAATCTCGTGAATAAAATAAAATGAAATTCGCGAGCAAATTCTTTATTATATATCCTTTGTGTTTCGCGTCTCTCTGTATTTCATTTTCATAAATTTGATTTTCAAATTAGACTGCTTGTGTGTCTAATAATGTTAAGATTTTAGAATGCGGATTAAAAATTATATAATATTAAAGTAGACAAATAATATTTTAAATTGAAATGGAATTTTATATTTCAATTTAAATTAATTACATAATTATATATTCACTTTTTGAAGACAAAACTTTTATTTCATCATGACAATACAATAAATAATATTTAAAAAAAATTTTTTTTTGCAACACTAACCTCTAAAGTTAAATTTTACACACCGAAAATTGTGTGTAAAGAAGCTCTTTTTCAAACGGTGTGTAAAGTAATTCACTTTACGCACTGAAATATTACTTTACACACTGAAATTTACTTTACGTACCGAAATTTCTCTCACATAATATAAGGATTGTTTTAGACCATACAAAACCACAAAATTAAGAAACGAACTTTACTATTAAATTTATACACTCCTGCTTAATTATATTTTTTCTGATCTTCGATTGATTTTTTTAATTCTATACAATCGAAATTATTCTAATAGAGAGTTGGAATTCTTCATAATAGGTACTTAACTTTAGAGGTGGGTGTTGCAAAAAATGTTGTATGATACACGTGCGTAAATCTGATTTAAAAGTATCAATTTGGCTTGCATCATTTTGATCTCATAAAAGGAATCAAATTAACTCAAAAATTTGGATCATTTTTAAAAATGATCCGAAAATCTGGATCAATTTTTGATCCTTAAATTGGTATCAAAGTTGGAGTGTCATGGCTGGCATATACTAACTGGAAAGTTTATCAATTAATTTCTTAATTTTATCCTACTTTTAACTGTAATAATTAATTTTATTATGAATTTCGCGTGAGAAACGAACAAAAATTTATAAGTATTGAACAGTTTTAGTTATAGAAAACTTCTTTTCGAAATAAAGTGCAATACACTAGGTTATGGCTTTTCGATATTTTGTCTGTTCGATGTATTGGCTTTTTGACATTTTGTTCATTCGATATTTTGTCTGTTCGACGTACTGACAGTTTGGTGAAAAGCAAGCGTCTCTTAATTTTCTAGCTTTTTACAGTTTTAGTTATTCTTAAAATTAGATTTTATTAGAAATTTAAATGTTTAAATTTTTTTTTAAATATTATAATAGGTTATTAATAATGTAAGAAGAAATTTTAATTTTAAATTTCCCACCATAAAATCACTTTTTTTGGAAGAATACAGTCACAGTTTTGTTGCCTGTCTGCAACTAGTCATGATAATCGTTTTATTATGCATTTAAAATAAAAAATTTACTTTGTAAACAAACACTCCTAACCTTACTAATACAAATTTATTGACAAATCTTGGAATATACATATGTAACTGGCTCACATGCATAACACATCTGATAATAAAGCACATTTTATTGTTACTTCAAGCCAACAAACATTTCAAGTGATTAACATCTGAGTAAATTTAATATAAGTATTTTTCTAATTTATTTCTCCATAAGATTATTACATGTCGTCTGATTTGTTGTCCACTCCAGGCCTCTGACGTCATATCTTTATCTCGAAATATATCGATGAACTGACAGAGCCTAATAAATATGTGCGTTAGAAAAGTCAACATATGACCGTACCTTAAACGTACAAGTACCTTTACATGCTAATCATTTGTGTATTTTCATAAATAGTCTAAATTTTAAATAGCCTAAAAAATATTTTTGTATAATTTGTTAATTAATGAAAACTACAAGAAATATTTATAAAAATTATAGAATTTTTCATTTTAACAAATTATTTCTTTAAGAATCGTTTATCATAAACGTTGCGTACCTCAGCTTCATAATATAGTATACCGATTTTATAGGTATTAAAATAGAATCAAATGACAATTTATAGTACCTAAAGTTGGTATTAAATTGATACCTTTTATTTTACAGTGTGGGCTCTACGATTTAACATAATTTTTAAAATTTTTCTAACAATATGCTTATAATTTTTGATAAATCCATTTTTTATTTTCTGAATGATATGCAGCAAGATATTCTTATACACAAAAAGAATAAATACGAATTTTAAACATCGAATTTTTGCCTTTTGGCCAGCTTTTTTGCAATTTCGATCACAGTGCGACTATAAAGCTTCAAAAATATTTAATTTTTTTTATCTATTTTATGCCTAAATTAAATTACTGTGTTAAATTGTTACGTCAAAATAATAGAATGTGGAAGATCGTAATTTAATGTGGAATGATAAATATTATATTTGGAATTTGGAAGATTCATGAAAAATACCGTATATGTGGGGAGCATTTTTTTTTGTTTTTGAAAATTCTTCGGATTTGATAACGTACATTCTGGAATTCTCAATTAGTCAGTTATTCGAGGGTAAAATCGAAGTTGTCCATCATAAATGAGGGAAGGCCCTTTGCAGTGGTGGTGGTGGTGGTCGGTATTACATAAAGGAAATAAAGGGTGTTGTATGAAAATGCGGGGGGTGAAAAGAGATTCCTGTGGTTACACGCAGTCACGATAGAAGTGGATGTTGAAACACCGCAAGACTCTTGTACTAGTGAGCTTGTGAGGTCTTTTTTAATTAAAGAGGGACCGCAAGTGCATTGACAGAGAGGAAGTTGGGAACGCGCCGCTCTGTATATACGCACTTGCACACGTCTATCCAAAGGTTTGTACTGCGAACAGTACACTTATAAGTTCTTCGTTGCCATAAGTCTTATGCGTATTCGCCACTTAAGGCGCACTTCAAAGACGAATCTCACATAGAAAAGAGAGGCCGCGACTTTCCTCATCGTTAGAAGATGTGGCTTCAAGCTATTTATTTCCACCAATAAGTGCGAAATTGGCATTCTTTTTGTTAGAATTTCATCCTATATTAGTTCAGAGAGAGAAAATTTTCAATTCTCAGTTCAAAGTAACTCCAATTTTCGTTCCTTTGAGCTAAAACTCTTGAAATTCTTGTTGTGCTTTTGTATAGTAGACAGTTTGACAGAAGAATTTATGTTTATCTCAAAGTTAATTCGATAATTATTAATTAAGTTTGACATCCATGTAAATTCCTTCTAAAGAATTTCTTTCAATGTTGATTGGAAACATGAGAAGAAACTTTGTGTTGTATTTTTTTGCATCTCACATTTATCAAAAGATTTAAACTTTCGAGAATTGCAAAATACAAATCTGTCCATGACATTTTTAAATTGACAGCAATATTTGCAGAGAGAAAAATTCGTACTTTAGTCAAACTCGTTAATCTAAGAGAATATTTTTCTTTTGAGTGAAGAATAATTACCAATTCAGATTTTGCTTTTATAAGTGCTAAAATATTTCAGTCAATCTTTATATCCACAAACCCACACAGTATATATATGTATAGGACTTTGATAAATGAGAATTTCATTTATGAACTTTGTTCTGTTTATATTTCGTATATTTAAATACTACTGTATTTTTTATTTTTAAAAGAACACTTTTACATTGTCATACAACAAATATAAAATCTCTTTTCAATTTCTTTTTTTTTTTAATATAACTGTTTTTCATTTTTTGTTATTTAGAAATTTTCAGAAAGCATTATTTTTCAATGATTTTTTATTTAATTATAAAAATACAACGTCTGTGAAGTTCACAACGTTTATATAATCAACGATTTTGAAGAAAGAAATATTTTTCTATGCAAATTAACCCCCATGAAGTTGGCGTCGAAATTTTTTTTCACCGAACCAAAATTATCAAATCATTTTTAAAAAGGTTTTGTGTCTACATAATACCTTAAAAAGTATTTCTCAAATTATTTGGATTGAAAATCTTAAAAAATATAATTTGACATTTTTGGTCCTGTGAAAATCAATTTTCGGCGACGAGCGTCGACGCCAACTATACATGGAGCTGCAAATTATTATACTTTGTTTTAAAAAAAATTTAAGTTTCTTGATCAACAATTTAATAGAGAAAAATTTGTGGACAAAAACTTATTTTTCTTCGAGAGAAATATATTTTTATTGATCATAAACATTGTGAACTTCAGCGACGCGTCATTATATATAGGAAAGTAAAAATTATAATAGCAAAAATTATATAATTATAGTGGAAAACAATATATTTTTCGTTGTGAAAAGTAAACCATAGTTTTCAAGAATTTTAAAATATTTTACTTTGTTCAAGGAAGAAATTATGTTAATTTAATTATTGTTCTAATTCTACAGAGTATCTTATATATATATATATATATATGTGGTTGATTTATTAGATTTTAATGAAGGTGGTGTACCGGAAATAAGGGCGTGAGAAAATAGACCATTCGTTGTGTTAGAATCGAGCAGTTTTCCTAATCTTTTAATCCGAGAAAGCAATCCAGTGTGTAATCTGACATGAATTTGGGATTCGGTTGCGTCCAATGTCCTCACTATACACATTTACGTGTGTGTAATGGAAGAATAGATTACGTTAAGCACATAAGTGCCTTCAAAATTGTTTTCAACCACATTTAAAGTTATCAAAAAAATTTATGGGATTCAATATGTTCTTCATTTTTGAAAATTAAAAACTTCATTATCTAAATATTAATAACAAATTATTATTATTAACAATAATAATATTATTCGTTAATTATTAATTTAATATTGTTCATTACTTTTAATATTTAATTAAAATTTTAAATGTTTATACAGTTTTTAATATTTAATAAACAATTGCCCTCAGAGAATACCCAAGAAGCACGTAATATATCCTCAATATCAAGGTAATATTACAAGTGAGATTCGTAATATAACGCTGTAATATTACAGTAATATTACAGTGATCTTAAAATGTCCGCCTCAAGGTAATATTACAGACTGATTTGAGTTATTCATAAAGCATAAAAAACGTAAATATATTATAAGTCAATTTGGCTTGTTGGTAAAACTCTGGACTCGTGTGCTTTGAGTTCGGGGTTCGATTCCCTGGATGGGTAGATTTTTTTCGTAAAGAAATGTTCCCATAATATTACTGTAATATTCTCTTGTAATATTACCTTAATATTACGGTATAATATTACTGCAATATTACTGTAATATTACCTTAATATTAGCGCGTAATATTACAGTAACATTACCGGTAATATTACCTTGAGGCGGACATTTTAAGATCACTGTAAGATTACAACGTTATATTACGAATCTTACATGTAATATTACCTTGATATTGAGGTTATATTACGTGCTTCTTGAGTAATTTTGTTTGAACCAAATATATAAAATTTTTTTGTATTAACACAATTTTTTGGTTATTTTAAATAAAATTTATTTATTTACTTTTTGCTAAAACCGTTTTTTGTATATTAATCTAGGCCTTCTTATTTTAAAATTGTGACGTATTGTGAAGAAAGGGACCTATAAGAAGCAAATGAATTATAGGTTATGTTTACGTCACATTTGCTTCTTTATGTGTGTTTGGTCAATCATAGAGTGGAAATTCATTGAAAATTTAAGTAGATACTATATATAATAATTCAGGGGAGTTTGAGTGTCCGTCTATATATACGTCTACGTCTATGAGACACATTATGAATGCACTATACGTTGGTTTAGTGGTATGGTATCTTTGTGGTGTCTGTGGACAACGTAATTGCTCCAACCCTTCCACCTTCATCTCGTTTTCCACCCTACTACATTAACGTATAAAATCTACAGGGTGCCCTTTTAAATTTTTCATGAAAATCATAATTCCCCCTCTTCAAAACATTTTTCGAAACAAAAACAAAAACTTTCACCACAAGATAATTTTCTTTTCTCTCTTCTTCAATTTTTGTCATATTTTTATATATAAATTTATATAGAATCATTCAAAACGGTATAAATATTTTTAATTTTTATTTTCAACTGAAACTTTGCAAATAAATTTATGATTTGTAATAATAAATGATATAGGTAGTCATTAAAACTTTTCTTATATAGATCATTATTATAACTCCAGTTAGCTTTTATTGTTCATTTTAGTGTGCGAATAATTTGAAACTGAATTATTAATATGATATATAGTCAAGAAATTATAGTTATATATTTTTTGGATCGATAAATAAATTTCACAGTAAACATATACACATATTATTTTGACGGTAAACTTTGTCAAAGGATATTATAATGACTTAACATAAAAAAATTGATATTGAACAATTTAAAAGTTGTTTCAATGTTTTATTGGCGGAACGTGAAAAAGAAAAATGTGAGAGGCATTTCAGCAATTCTTATAAATAGTTATTTGAAACGTGATGTAACTCAAGAATGCTTTTGTTGAACCACCGGATATGTGGGAAAAAGGAGACCCTCTCGTATCACTCCGGAAGAACCCCTGAAACTTCTATCATGCAGAGTGCCAGGATGGGTACCTTGACTTGAGTTTTACTATACACACACACACACATATATATATATATATATATATATATATATAGAGGTATTGCTATCTAACGCTTCAAAGAAGCCTCTTAGGAGTGACTAAAACAACCTGAATTATCAAATAAAGGTTGAAATTCTAGAGAACAGGAATAATCAACGTTAACGTGTACACTTTTCTTAAAAATTTCTTAGTTTCTTTATAAACTTTATGTTCAGAAAGGTTTTTGACAGCATTTGCAAAGTGATTCTAACCTAAAAATATATTTCACTTTACTATACATGATTACAATGCAGTTTTCAATCAAGTTGAATAGTTTATTAAGTCTATCATGTTTTTTTATGTTGGGTAATCACCTTATAAAATTGGTCTTGGTAAACAATAATTCATATATTTCTATCAGACAACAAAAATAGAAAATCTTTCAATCAAAATAGGAAAATGGGCACAGTAACAGACACCCAGAGCATACTTTTAACTTTAAATGACTATCAAAATTTATTATAAAGATTTATTTATTTATTTAGAAATTGTAAACGAGCTGTGCCCTTTGAGTACATAGGTACCTGAATAATAATGTTACAAAAGTAATCAATAAAATTTCTGAACAGTCAATGACACTGTTGATTATTTTATATATAAAAAAAGCATGTCCGCAAAAAGAAATCTTTGTTTAATTGTAGGTATACCAAAAATCATTCTAAGATTACTATAATCATGAGAAAAAAGGTCAAACAAAATACCTGCTTGGTAAGCAATAAAACGTAAAAATCGATTTTTCATATACGTTCAAGTCGGATGATATGATGTTGCTGATACGATGACTATATTATTGATAATGACTCAATAAGTGATCTAACGAATGCGAAAAAAGTACTCTTAATGTTTTTATATTATCAAAATAAGACGAATTACGAATTGAGAGGCTGATAGTAAAAATGATTTAAAATAACATTCGGAGCAAAAGTGGGATAACTGACTTGGGAGCAAAAACGGGTTAAAATGATTCGTGTAATTTATTTATAAATTCATTATATTATCGATTAAAAAATATTAATTATAATAAAATATGCATTTTTTCCTATTGTTAATATTTTTTAGTCGATAATATCACAGAAAACTAAAAGGCATTAAAATAAGCTGCAACGCTTCTTATTTTAATCCAATTTTGCTTATTTTAATCCATTTTGGTATTAAAATAAGCAAATTTGGATTAAAATAAGAAGCGTTGCAGCTTATTTTAATGCCTTTTAGTTTTCTGTGATAATGAATTTATCAATAAATTACACGAATCATTTTAACCCGTTTTTGCTCCCAAGTCACTTATCCCACTTTTGCTCCCAATGTTATTTTAAACCATTTTTACTATCAGCCCCTCAATTATAAACCCATGAGACTTTACAGTATAATCATTTTAATCATTATTGTATAATCAATAAAGCAAAATTTTTGAGGTTAGTAAAATAGTAAAATATTGAGGAAAATATAAAGAAATAAAATTTTGTTTCAAATGTGTTTACCTGAAAATTTAATTCAATATTATTATTTCTTTATAGAAAATACATTTTAATCATTAATAAATTTTTTAAGCTAGTATTTCTAATAAACTTCTACAAGTAGAAGAACAAATATTTGTAGAATTTGATTATTACCGTTCTTGATTCAATTTTTTTTTTTGAAATTTTTTATTTCAAAGCAAAAGTTCTGACTTTCCATCTCTGATCGACGCTTTTTAATTAAAGAAATTCCAAGGTTTCACCTTTTACGAACAGGTCGAGCCGACAGGGAAATTGACGTCGGGTGTCGCCTCGTTGGGAAAAAGGGGGAAAAAGCCCGTTGTCGACGATAGAAATTAGACGAGATTTCACTAGAGCAGGACGAGCGTTTTACGAATTAAAAGCAGGCTGCTGCGTTAAGTGCTCCCTTTTTGCCCTTTATGCGCTTTGATATCGCCAGACCAGAGTCGACGATACGTTACTATATAATATATATATACATATATATAGAGTCTGTCCTCTCACATTTTTCCTTTCTCTTCATACAATTCCCTATATCTTTTTCTCATTTTTCTCTCGTTTCACCTTCTCTTTTGTCGCAAAAAAAAAAGAATTTTAATCTCGTTCTTCGCGCGATGAAAGTGGTGGCGATAAGAAAGGGAAATTATGTAGGTTTGGTGCTTGGGATTTAAGTGCGAAATGCGGAGGGATATATAAGGGTTTATATGTTATCGATGAAAGTAATTTTTCAACCCTGTCGATTTTCTCGTTTATCAAAATGAACATTTGGCAAAAAAATTGTCGATTTATACAATTTATGAATAGAATAAATTTTATTAAACTTCTTTGTTTTAAACTAAACGTATTAATTCAATTTTTTTGAATTATTGAAAATTAATTATAATTAATTTAAATTGAAGAATTTTATAATTATTTTTAATTTTATACTTTTGAGAGATATGTCTATCATTTTTTATTTAAAAATCAATTTTATTGAAAGGAAATGAAAAAAATTGTGTGAAAAGATTAAAAATAATAAAATTATGTCCATCATAGAGTGCGGTCATATATAACCATTTTACAAACTTCATTTTGATTTTCTTTATTAAATTGCTTGGAAATGGAATAAATCTTTGAAACATTTTTCTATATTGTTGAAAAATTAGTTATGGATTATCGATTTTTTTTTCTTTTTTGAGAGAGAAACAATTTTCTTATATGAATATTACCTTTTTTTCAGATTATTTTCAAGATCTTTTGAAATCGAGCAAAGTCGGATTTCATGACATGTTTAAGAAGACTTATGGCATCTTATATGAACAGAATTCATACGTCTTCACAGACCTTTTCAAAGAGCTGGAAAAATACTACGACACAGGATCGGTAAGAAAAAAAAATTTTCATCTCAGATTTGTGGTTTTAGAAGAAACTTATCAACCTTTTTTTATTGTGATTTTCCATTTTTAAACAAATAAAAATTGAAATATCATTCAAAATAGAAATTCATTTAGAAAAATGAATAAATCAATTTTTGTTTAAAAAATATAATTTTTTTTTTGATTAAAATAAATTAATAGAAGAAAAATATATGATTTTCATTTCGATTGAAAATACATAATTTTAATCATATTTTTCATGGTGTCTGAATGATTTCAAATCTAAACCTGTCCAAAGTGTACAAGTTATGAAGAAAAAAAGTTTATAATTAAATTCCCCTTGACATTTCTCAGCATTTCAATATCGTTTTATAATTTTTTTTTGCTCTTAAAGGTATTTTTCTTTTTTTTTTTACGTCCACCATAACTGGAGCGAACTTTGCTCGTATTTCACATTTTGTTTGAAAGACGGAAGCTGAGAGCGATTGTAAATCAAATTTCACACCAGTTCTAAAGCTCAATTTTCAAAGGCAAATTTCTTCTTTACGAAGCTGATTTCTTCTTTTTCGCATATATATATACTCTTCAAAGTTGTTGAAAAGTATTCAATTTAACTTTATGACTATTTCACTAACAAATATTATTACTATTCATTTTTATTATTATTTTTATATAATATTCAATATATATATTTTAATTTATTGATTTAAGAAAAAAAATGATAGTAAAAAATTCACAACTTCCCATATGAATTTTCATTGCGAAGTTGTTTTTATATTTCCCATGCGAGCTTTCTTGAAATGAAAACAAATTGTTTCTCAAATATGATAATTATAGTGGTGGTAATTATTTAGGCATTTCCTTTTTCATTTCTAAGAAATAATTTTCCCAGGTGAATCGTTTCATTTGAAAAATTCACTAATATTCGTAAAAGTTGAAAAATTCATTATTGAGTACAATTATCTGTCTTCCCTTTTGCTTTTTATGGTCTATACTATACTTTTCCGTCATTTTGTCTTCATGCTTGGTTCACTACAATTACGAGGAGTTACTCTGTTCGCCCCTACTGTCTTTCGTGAAACTGCTACCCTATCTCATTTATAGTATATATATGTATACAATATACAAAAGTTGAAAAATATCGCGTGCCACAGTGAATTTAATCAATGCACTTTCGACGTATACGCAATCGGTCATTTCTTGATAAAATTCTTGAATCTAAAAATATCTCCCACTTTATTTCAGCTCGATATAATGCCATATTATTAAAAAAATAATACCAGCACGCGGCACTCTTTTGGAGTTTTATTATATGTTTATTCTCTTTTCTATGTAGAATCTGATAATGTTTTAATTAACAATATTTTCATTTAAAATATGATAATTAATTTTTGGTCACATTTTTTATTTTCGAAATTTTCGAAAATGTAAAAAAAAACTTGATTTTCAAGAATGAATTTAAATTTTATTCATTTTCTTTTTATTTTTTTAAAAAAAAGAAAAATGTTTTCGAACTTTGTAAAAGGATTGTGTGTTTTTCACAAAGAAATTTTTTTTCCGACTATTTTTCCATAAAAGTATATTATTATCGTATAACACAGATCAATTATAATTAATTATCAGAGTGGCGATATGACCGAGAGAAATGACCAGGAATTTAAAATGATGAGCCAAAAGTTTTGAACGTTCAAATAAACGAAATTTTTTTGCAATTTCTTTAAGCATGAATTTCATTACAAAATATTGTTTTAAATATCTAAAAAAAAGTTAATAATTTAATAATTGTTTAATCTATTGTTTTATTTTACATTGTCGTTATATTTTTTAATAATTTATAAATTGAAAAAAATATTTTATTCATTTGAACGTTCAGAAATTTTGGTTCATTTTAAAATGTATAACCGGGAATTTTTCAGATATTCTAAAAATTGATATTGTCTATTACATCTTGTTGCATTAATTTCTCAGAAAAATGTATTTTTAAAATAAGTATCTAATTATTTTTTTCCAGTAGTTCATTATTAAAATTTATTAGAAGAATTAATATTAAAAAATAAAAAAAAATTTTTTTTTTTTTTTTTAGAAAAAATTAATTATTTACAAAATTTTGACCGGGAAAAACAAAAAATTGACCGGGAAATGACTGGGAATTTATAATCATAAAAATTATCGCCACCCTGATTATTTATTCACAATAAATAATAAATAAATTACGATTACAGTACGATTAATTTTGGTTCCTCCCAGTAATACTATAAATAATGTTAGAATCACACGCATGTAGATAAATGAGTTTTTTTATCCAGTTTTTTTTTGTTTATTGATTTTATATAATTAGAATTACAATTAGAATTCTCCATGTACATGATGAATATTTCATGAAACTTATTTATTAAAATTTCCACGTTATCGAAATTAATAACAAGGCTCGAAGTAAACGAGTTTTTGGACTATTCTCCCATAAAGTATGTCATAAAATAGAACAATTATAATTAATTATTAATTCACTATAAATAACAAATACAGTACTATTATATATATTTTTTTTTTGTCTATGATAAAGTAGGTTTTTTTCCTCAAAAAGAGAAAATTACAAATTATTAAATATAAAAACAGAAAAAAAATTTAGTTTTTAATAATTTTTGAAAATTTATTTTTTAATTGTTTTTTAAGAATGGATTTAAATTATCAATTTTAATTTTGTTTCATTTATTATTATTCTTATTATTATTATTATTATTATTATTATTTTTTTTTTTTGGTTTTTTTTTGTAAAATTTTTTTTTTTAATTTTGTAAAAGGATTGTTTTTTTATAAAGAGGATCTCTGATATGAATATATTATATATATTTTTAAAATCAAAATGCGGAAACTAAAATCTCGTTATTTTCATATAAAGCGAGTAAACTTTTGCACTGTTATATGAAACTTTTGATTCAATGAAAGAAATGTTTCGTTGCTGATAAACGGTAGTGTTTCACATGTATGTCTCCAAGTGAAGAACATTCACTTTGTGATATGAAGTTGATTGTATTAATTTTAGCACAATGTGCTTCTGACATTTCAGTTTCATGAATATATATAACTTTGATATAACTATACATATATATACAATATTGTCTGGTTCTGGCGTTTGGTACAATAATATTCGTCTGGAATTGTGAATTAATAGGAGAAATATATTATTAGTGACTTACATTCGCACTAATTTTGGGTTCATGATATAATCTCGTATAATCATGCAAGCATAAATCGATTGCTTCAACAGACATGAATATCAGATGCCCAGGAGTAGAAATAGCTGCGACTGTGTATTAACTGGGAATCACAAATCCTCATCTCTCTCTCTCTTTCTCTGTGTACATTACGAAATTCCAATTCTAAGGTTGATCAAACATTTCGAAATTCTCATTCATATGAATCATTCTCGATATTTTTGCCAATAAGCAAATATTTCATTTTTCGTTATGTTTTTTTTTTTTTTTTTTTTTTATTCAAGCACATGGTTTGTAAAATAAAATTTTATATGGTCTTTTCTTGTTTTTGTGAATTTTTAAAAAATTTATTTTACAACTTAAGAGAAAAATATTTAAAAAATTTAAATAATTTTTTAATTCTTTAAAATGGTAAAGTACAATTTTCAATTTATTTAATTAATTAAATTATTTAATATTATAAACGATTGAATATGTAACGGGAGGAATATTCTCGAAATTAAAATTAATTGGAATCAGAGATAACTGTTAATTTTTCTACATTGTTATATCATCCTTTATATATAAATTTCATTAATGAGACGAAATAAATGTGTTCTATTATCCTCGAATCAACACTCATTTATAAAACAACTCTTTAGTATCCTGTGTGCAATTGCAACGAATTCAGGAGATAAACAGAGGCAACGTGTTTCGAATGATTTACAATTAGTCACAACTGGTTTAGAGTAATGGATAATTCGTTAGATATGTCAAACTAAAATGATGATTTTTATTTATTTTAATGGATCATTATTTCCAATCGCAGAATTTAAAATACAATTACATATTTTCATCAAAGCATCATGATAATAACAATTTAATTTCTTTAATTTAATTTTAATCTTTAATTTTTTTTAATCTAAAAAATATAATAAAGTAAATTATAAATTTACAAAAAATAAATTAGTAAAAACAAATAATATTATTTAATTAAAATAATAAAAAACTATAAAAAAAAATAAATTATAATAGTAAATTAGTTTATAATTATTAAAAATTTGACAATTTCTTCTCTAATGATAAATTATTTTTACAGGTTGATTTGGACGATGTGATGGATAATTTTTTCAACACTCTCTATCAAAAAATGTTTACTGTATTGAATAGTCAGTATACATTTGATGCAAAATATTTGGAATGTGTTGGAATGCACATGAAAGAAATGGGACCATTTGGAGACGTGCCTTCAAAATTAGGAAATCAAGTTAAAAGGTCATTTGTCGCCACTAGAGCATTCAGTCAAGCTCTAAGTGTTGCAGCTGATGTCTTGAAAAATATGCAAACGGTAATTTTACATATAAATAATAATAAAATATAATAAATTTGCCTCAAAACTAAATAAATAACACTTTTTTCAAATAGATTTTATTTGCACAAATTATACATTTTTTATTTTAATATATTTTTTCTCTGAATATACAAAGAAATAATAAAGATAAAAAAAAGAATTGTAAAATATTATTTAAAAATATTTATTTTCAATTCAAATTTCATATTAAAACAAAAAATTATTTGATTCAATTAATCGATTGCTTGATTATTATGATATATAAAATATTTATTTTTATCAAATAACAATTATTATTGAGTTACACATTATATTTATTTCATTTATAGAAATTATTTTGTCGTAAATATAGTTTATTTAAAAAATTTTTGTTTTAGAGCCAAATATATTTTATTTGGTTGAAATAAAAATTTTATTTGTGCTAAATAAAATTTTTCAGAATAAAAAGTTATTAGACTCTAAGATAAATATAGTTTTATTTGATTTAAAAAAATTTTATTTGTCTCAATTAAACGCAAATGAAAGATTTCTCTGGGGTAAATATTTATTTGATAATAAACAAGTAACCTATTATTTAAATTAAATAGATTTTTTTTTCGCTACACTCTACGAAAAAATGTAAAAAAAAAAAAAAAAAACTGCATTGCAATTGCAAAATGTAAAAAAAGTCTACTATTTCAGTAGGTGGATTATTTAATTTTCACTCGCACGATAATCTTCTTTTAATTCGATTATCGTTTGTTCTGAATGAAAGTTTCTATCTTTACGACCAATTCAATTTAAAAGCTTTTAAAGTCAAAGGCTTTTCGTTTAACAGACTTTTGATACTTTTAAACTTGTTATTTGAAATTGTAACTTGTTGAATTTTAAGCTCCCTTTATGTATATTTATATATGTGAAGCCCCCTCTTTGTTTATTAAAACTAGCGGGGAGTGAAAAGCTTTCAGTTTTGGATATAAATCAATTAACACCGAGTTAAACAGATTTATCTATATATATATATATAAAAGAACAGACACCATTGAATTTCAATTATGTTATAATTATAATAAACTTGTTCTCGTAGTTAAAACCATCAACTGAGTGTGCCGCAGCATTAACGAGAATGACTGCCTGTCCATCTTGTAGCGGGATTCCTGGCAATGTTTTGGCGTGTAGTGACATGTGCGCAAATGTGATGAAGGGCTGTCTAGCACATCACGCAGCACTTGACGCTGAATGGAATCATTTTGTCGGTGAGTTCAAGACTAATTTTCATCATTTACCCAATAATTATATATTAAAATTACTTCCATTATTTTGAGAGAAATAACGAAATTTCATACAATGCTGCAAAGTACACATTATCAATAATTTTTATAAACATTTTTATAAAAATATTTTTTTTGATTAAAAAATTTTATGAATTTTCATCTCAAAGATGAATATGTTTACTATATTGATCAATAAATTTTAAAAAATTGTTTTTTTTTCATAAAAGTAAATGTAGATAAAAGTAATTTAATCCAATATTTAAAAATTTCTATTAAAAGAAAAATATTTACAGATTTGAAAGTTTAAAAATTTGAAGAACAAATTAATTATTGAAATTTGTCTGAAATAGAAGCCAGACATTTTTTAAAGTGGACAATTTAATTTTTTAGGCGCCTTAATTTACTTCGCATTGAGTCAAATGTTTCTTTTGTTTTATTTTTAACATTTCTCACTGACAATCACATGCATATTTAATTTTTTAAAAGACTTGCGGTTCTTTTGATATAAATTTTTGTGACTAAGAGGGCGAAATTTTAAATTATTTGCATAATTTTCAAATGCGATGAGTAACTCTTGATGATAAAAGAACTTCAATTTATCTCTTAATTAATATTGCCTTCTTGGTATTTATTAAATGGCACAAGATTTAGTTAGTATAAAATTAATGAATTCGGATAATTAAAGTCCATATATAGAATATTCATACAATAGATCTGATATAGAATTTAAATTAAATTGTCAAATGTTTATGATTTACAGAGGCTGTCAATAATGTGGCTGATCGACTTTTGGGTCCATTTAATATAGAAATGTTGGTGCGACCGATTAATTTGAAAATTTCCGAAGCTATAATGAATTTTCAAGAGAATAGTCATGAAGTTTCGCAAAAAGTTTTTGCCGGCTGTGGTAAACCACTTTTGGGACGACGCAGAAGACGAAGTAAAGATATTGATTTGGAATCATTGAATTATGATGAAAATTTAATGTCAGAAGATCGTTCATCGACGGCAGTAATGCTTGACAAACTGGTGAAGGAGATCAAACAGAAAATCAGAGACTCAAAACAATTTTGGGTATATTTACCCTATCAATTGTGCAATGATGGTCTTGTGGTTCCTCCCAGTAATACTAAGGAATGTTGGAATGGCACTCATGTAGATAAGTAAGTTTTTCATAAAATTTTCTTTACTTTTATTGATTTTATATAATTAAATTAAATATAAATTAATTTAATTGAAAAATGAAATAAATAAAAACTAAATAATAGAAATAAAATTAGAATACTTTCGTAGATGATAAATATTCATATGCTTTTAAATATTTGAATCAGCAATATTCGTTGAATTTACTTTAGAAAATTTTTTTTAAATCTATTCAATAATTTTTTAATTAAAAAAATTTTTTAATTAAATATTAAATCGATGAATTTAATTTATAATTATTATTAAATTAAATCTTTTAAGAAAAAATCAATGGCAAACATTTTTTAATAATCCTGTTTTATTAAATTGTTAGTATAAATTTGTCTAAAAATTTTTCTTATTAAAAATTAATAAAAGTAATCTATTTATTTAATATTAAAAGATTGAATATTACTAATGAATATTTAACCACAATATCATTGACCAATTTATGAATATTTAAATATTTATTAATTCAATTTATATATAAAAATTAAAAATATCGAGTTTTTGCAATCTTTGTTTGTGTATAGTATAATGCGATAAAATCGACTTTTTACGATTTAAAATCGATTCGAGAACACAAATAAAGTCGAGTTTATATTTTTTTTCTCTTATAAAGTAGAATTTTCAATTAAAAAATATTTTATTAATCGAATTTTAAATGTAATAAAATTTTTAATTACATTTGAATTTATTTTAGAAATTTTATTTTTTTAAAGAAATTTTCAAAATCTATACAATTAATAAATTATTCAGAATCATGAAAATAGCGTAAAAAATTATAGAGAAAAAAATTAAAAGAAATTATGAAAAACATTCAAATTTCAATTTTTATCAGAATTTTGAGTTCTGTTAAAAAACTTAATCAACTAATAAAATTTGTTTCTTAATTTTTCATGATGTAGCATAATTTTAAATTTTCAATAATTGCAGGTCCTTAAACCTTAAAAATTCCTTAAAAATTTAATAAAAATAAAAATGTTATTTTAGGAAATTCGGCTGTACAGTAATTCAAAATTATAAATTTCGAAACATTGGAAAGAAGTTAACAATTTGTAGAAGAATTTTAATTGCTTTTTTTTTTTTTTTTTTTTTTTTTTGTAAAATATATTTTTGAAAAGGACTTTTTTATAATAGAGAATTCGAAAAACATTTATTTAAAGAGAATTAATTAATTTAAAGATTAAATAATTAAGATTATCTATAATTTAGAATTGAATTTGGTGTTTGGAATGTATTTTATTTTTAATTATAACTGTTTTTTTAGATACATATATCCAGTGTCTTCGGATGGTGAGACACAAACCTTAAATCCCGAAGTGAGAGAAGGTGGTCCCAGGCCAGCAATAGTTAGAGAACAACTATTTCAACTAACGACCATTACGAATAGGCTACGCTCTGCCTACAATGGTCACGACGTTGATTGGATCGATACAGGTAATTTGCATTGCAGATTGAGAATTGATCTTGTCTTGATTTCTGCCCTGGTTTCAAGTATCAACAATGAAAGTCAATCCTCTAAACAGCCATTAATTATCAGTTTCCCATAAAGCAATTCTGAATTTTTTTTAAATAAAGTAAATTTAATATTAAATTTTTATTTAACAATAGTGCGGTTAATGAAAAGAAAAACTGATTTAATGTTTGGAAAGTAGAGAAAAAGATTTTTTTTATTTAATTTTCTTCAATATCTAGTAATTAATTATTTAAAATTTAACACCTTGATAAATGTATGTAAATAGAAAATATTATGATTTAAATAAAGATAAAAATTTTTATTTAAAAAAAATTGCTTTTTGTTACAGAAGAATCGTGGTATGGATCCGGAAGTGGTTCCGGTGACAATGCCGAGGAAGATCCAATAACCGATGACGAAGACGGATTTAGAGAAGGTTCGGGCTATGATCCAGAGCCTGTTCCCGAAGTTCCGAAAAACAATTTACCTCCTCTTGTTCATAAAGATATCACCCCTCGGGTTGATATTGAACCGAAGACGCCGAGTGTCAACAATAAAACATCGTCCGTTGACAGTGGTGCGCCGAGGCAAAAGATGTCGCTATCGAGAGCATTAGCGACGTATCTTTTCCCAATAGCTGTTATGTGGTTTGGCGGTTGTCTTACCGAGTGGCTGTGATTTTGTGGTTTTTAAATCCACATAATATTGTGTAAATATTTTCTTTTTTTTGAACTATTTTTTGTTTCGATCTGATCGAGAAAGCGGACCGTGTACTCAGTTGATTATAAGTGAATCGAAAGTGAACTCGTTGACAACAGAAGTGCCAGTGAAAAGTAATTTTTTTTTTTTTTTTTTTTTCGAAAACGACGAGCTGGCTCAACAAATTCGTGTATTTTTAAAGTGAAAAACTTAGGACATTAGTTTTTCTTCTATTTCCATCGACGATAATATGGTACTCCGTTGATTCTCGTGAAAATCGTTAACTTTATCTGACGAAACTGAGTATACGAAAAGCAAAACGGGACTGAATATTTATTAAGCGTTCGTTGTGTATTGTATAGTTCTTGAAGCGACGCTTGCTGGAGAAAAAGAAATCGAAGTGTAGAAACTTTCTCGACATTCATTTTTCAAAACAAAAAAATACGTAAAAAAAATACTGAATCTTTAATTCAGAATTTCGAGATTAAGTTTCTTATCTTCGTTTTTAATGTCTGTAAATAAAATGGAAGGAGAACTACGAATCGTTCCGAAATCTTGGAAATATTTTAAATTTTATTAAAATAATTTAAAATTAGTACTGATATTTCGACAACGATTACAGCATCAAATGCGGTACAATCCTCAAACCTTAGATAGTGTTATTTAAATTAATCATATTATAAATTATTTCTGACTAAAAAGTATTTTTAATTTTTTTCTGGCTTAATTATTTCAAAATTTAGTGATTTTACAAAAAAAAAAAAAAAAAAATAGAATTCCAGTGATTTTTTTTTTAAAAAGTACAAGTCCATTGAATGGTGAAAAAAAAGTAATATATGTATATTTAATTAATTAGTTAAGAATCATTCGTAACTCTCCTTCTTAATCTTTAGCTATTAGATTTGGTATTTTATTAAAAGAAAAATAAATAAATAAAGCGTCAGTGTGGCGTCAGTATGCGGTCAAAAACTGACTCCTGTGATAAAGTCAAAAAATAAGCCGTGACCGTGAAAAAAAAAAACTTCCACACCATCTTGACGAATAACTTCGGCATATAATAGATGTCTTACAAATCTAGTGAAATATTAAAATTTAATATTATAAATATATAATTATTTGTAATTATATTATAAATATAAAAATATATATATATATAAAATTAATATAAAAATAATTCGACTACGTTTAAAATGGTTTATCAAGAAACGTACATATTTTGATTCACATTGTGAATCGACATTTATATTATAGGTTTATCAAATTGAACCAAGTCTCTGCCAAACATGCGTTAGGAAACTAATTTTTCAGAAGCAAAATATATATATATATATATATATATAACCGAAATTCAAAAATCGAATTGGAAATTTATTCTAGCTAAACAAAATTCATTTATAATAACTGCTCAAGTATATCTTTTTCAAATCAATTTGTATTAAAGAATATTTATTTTATTGTAAGTAATTTAATTAACTTATTTCTTTAAGAATTTATGTATTTGTAATTTTTTTTTATTCTCAATTGAAAAAATTTTTCTTTAGTAATACATTTTAGAAATATTGTACAATTTAAAAATTTCAATTAATTTCTATTTTAGTTTGTTTTTTCAGGTATTCAATAAATTAATTGAAATTTTTGCATTGTACTTTTTTTTCTTATATTTAAAATTGCTTCACGTTAAAAATTATTTTCGAAAATACAGGGTTTTTAAAAATGTTTCTATTAAATGTCTGCAAAGTATGGAATATTGTACTTGAAAATATGGAAAGTATCGTGCTCCAAATGTACAGAAATTCATGAACAAATTAGTTTGAAAAATAGTGTCGAGCATAAATAGAGGATTTTTATTAAATAATAATTCAATTATAGAAATGTAATATGTAAAAAAAAGTATAGGTGTTAGGTGTTCCCTTCTAGAATGGAATCAAAACATTTTTATTATTTTCGCAGCAATTTGTCTTCTTTTCATTTATAAAAGAAAAAATCATTCTCAATACGAAATTTTTCGTCTTTATTCTTATATAGTATATATATACGTAAAATAAGAGTGAAAAGAAACTAATTGTTGTGAGAATATTAAATAAAAACGTTGTCATTAAAAGTGCCCCAGAAGAACACATTTTGTCTGAAATCAGAGTAAAAACTTCGTCGATTTATCTGGAAATTAGAAAAACAAAACAATAATTTTATAAATCAAGAGTTGACGATTTTGTCTGATATTTCAAAAAAAAAAAAAATAATAATTCGACGATTTCTCTGTATGCGTGAATGAATGTATCAAGCGTGATTGATCTGTTCGATGTACAAGTACACAATGGATACAACGAGCCTTTGTTATTGACGGCGGTAAACGAACTGACTACGTCGGTTTATGTTTGAAAAGCAGAACTGAAAATGCCTTAAACTCCGAAATAACTGCCTTTCTTTTTCTTTTTTTTTTGTGAAATTTTGTTCTCAATATCCATTGTGCACTATTTCCATTTAAATGTACACAAGAGTATAAACTATTTCAATATTGTCCACTTTTTTTTTTTATCGTTACAGTACTTATATGGACTTTGCCGCGATAGAAAATCCGATAACATTTCTATATATTTAATATATACGTATTGTAACGTTCCGATCTCGATAAAAGTTTACAGCTGCCACAATATAGGCCGATCGTGTGTATTTGTATTGCAACAGAGTTTCATAAAGTCAGATTTGGCAGTGAGTCCAAATCACGTCAAAATTCATTGACCGTGCATTTAAAGAAATGGATTCGTTTTTGTGCAGACATCTTTTTGTGACACACACGTTTGTAGTATTTAAATGAATACGCGATATTCTGATAAATTTTTTTTTTTACTAAATTCCAATAATTTCCTTTTTCACTTTTATACATGTATATTTTCTTGATATTTCGAATTTTTTACTCCAATTTTTTCTTATCAATGTTTTATATTCCCTTCAATTCTGAATGTTTTTATGAATGAAATTGGAACAATTTTTATATTTTATGTACTTTTACATCCGAAAATAGAAAATATTAATTTAAATATCGATGAATGTGAAAATGTATTATTTGATGAGTAAATTATTATTATTTTTTTTTAATAAAAGATTTTTATTTTTTATTTTCATGTATAAACGTTCAGAATTTCGGGTAATTTTTTTTTTTTAATTAGAAATGAAACTGAAGTTTGCATTATTTACAAAAAATAGAAAATGTATATTTTATAATTTAACTATTTGAAATAATCATAAAATAAAGTGTAATTTAATAATCAACAAACCAGAAAGAATTATTAATTTAAATTAAATTTTAAAAAATTAAATATTTTTTGTAAAAATTGCAAACTTTAGGTTTATGAATAGAAATGCAAAATAGTTTCATTTTTTTTTTTTTAATTTTAACTTTAGAATCAAGTCTGATGAGTCTCTGTTGTTATAGAAATTGTGAATCATGTGAATATTTCTGTTACGTGAGGAATACCTGATACTGCCTGTACATTGTGATAAAAAAGAAAGGAAAACTTGTATAAAAAAAACAAATTGTGTAATGCGTTGTTCCATTCCACTTGCGTGATACGTGGAGACATTTAAGAAATTGTTTAAAGTCATTTTGAATTGCGTGCGAGGAAAGAGTGCGTGTAATAGTTAACTTTTTTTTGAGAGAAAAAGTTGTATGTAATTTCTTTCTGAAAACATAAAAAATGTGTGCCATATTTTGTATGGCTACTGTTAAGAAGAAAACTTGAATTCATGCCATGTTATGTTAGTCGATCAGTGAATTTTTTTTATTTTTTTTTCTTTTTTAACAGGATAAGGAAGAAAGTCGTGAATATTTTAAGGAGCGATATTTACTTTTTAAGATTCATTTTTCACTTTTTTTTTTTTTTTTTCTATTGAAACCTTGTAAATGTTTCAGGAACAACAAATTCTGTGCTTTTTCTATAATGTAGTAGCGATATCAAATTTTATTTAATGATTCAACTTATTGAATAAATTTCAATATTTAAATAATTTTCGATGTATTTTCTTTTTTCTAGAATAATTATTACAGATCCTTTTATTAAAAAAGAAGTATCAAGTTCCTATATTTTAAAATTCTTTATATTTAAAAAAAAAATTAATTTTGCGCTTTTTCGGCCTTATAAATAATTGACTATTTTTAAATTTTTAAATTACGTAACTATTAAAAACTTGGTTTTTAAAAAAAAGAAAAGATTTTTTAAAAATTTATTTCATAAAATTTAGTAATTTAAATATACTATAAAATTTATTTTTTACATATATAAATTTTAATAAAAATTGCTTAAAATTCATATTTAAAGTTTTGATTTGATCTCTTTTGCTTTTTATTTTATTATAAATATTTAATTTAATTATTGAAATTGCTAAAAAATTATATATTTAAAGATATCTGTTTTATCGACAGTGAATTCAAAAATGTTGTTATCCACAAATCACGATTGCCGACAAGTAGCGACAATGTGGGAAAATTCAGAACTAAGATGCTTAGAAGTGAAGAGAAGACATTCCAAACAATTATCCTATTTTTAACATAACAATTTTTATCGTTTACAGTAAATATATTTTAAAATATACATTATTGACGCATCTATATTACAGTGAAGAATAATTTAGTGATAAAAGTGAGTTGAAAAAATTTATAGAATTGATAAAAAAAAAAAAAAAAGAAAGAAAAGATTATTTTGATAGTTCTTCTGTTTCTCGTGGCGCTGCATCATGAAAAGATGACGTAGTGCGTGCATTGCATTCGCACAGTAATCATATCAGTGCTCGGTCTACTGTATTTTTCGCGTCCTTTCATCTAAACAAAAATTGTATTTATTGGAAAAAAAAGTGCCGGTAATAAATAATTGATTTACATTAAGAAAATTATTAGTGACAGTGCACTCATCTTTAAAGCCTTTTTTGGATCACGACGCTAGAAAACTTTGGGTGAGGTCTTTTCGCCGCTCCGTTTTCATATATATGTATGTATTTTCATGCGGATATTTTGAGTGTTTCAAGTGGCCCAGTAGACAAGTCTTAATTTTATCTTATATGCACGTGTTTAGTCAATCTTCCCAAATTTTTTAAGTCATGTTAAGGTTATCTTTTCCCGTATACCAAACATCATACATCCTCAGGAGGGAATGTCCTGCACAAATTCCAAGATATTGTGTATTTGACGGCACCCTCGTGCACATCTCCATCTCCTTTTATGAATCACTTGGAAAGCGTGACAAATTACTAGAGAGAGGGCGTCCGTATTTGAATCGCTTGCATTCACGAGGTTAAATAAACAAGTACCAGTTGTAAAGTGCACGTAAACATTGATAATCAACGTGAGAAAAAGTTGTTGCATCAATTGAAATTTGTACATTCAAAATATCCGCATTTTAATATCAGTTATTTTTTTGAAAGTTTTTTTTTTTTTTTTTGCAAAGATACTTAATAGTTTTATCCTTGATTTCTTGGTCCTTTTTATATCCTAGAGAGAATGATGGGAATTTCATAAGATAAAAATGAGTCATGGGAATGAAATGATAGTCGTGTAAAAAACATTCCGGATTTAAACTATAGATTTCTGATTGACCTCGGAAATGTGTACATTAACGACATCAAAGGGCTATTGTTACTTTACCTTTAGATTTTTGAAATGAATAAAAAGTTGGCATATTTCAAGCGTTTCTTTACAGTGAAAATAATTAGGGTACTTTTCTTCTTCAATATGATAGTAATTATAGTGACATGACTATATAATTATCAAGAATTTTAACCTTGTTGAAATTAAATTACTGAAAATATACCTAAAGAATAATGTAAATAATTTGAAAGTATTTTTCCTCAAAATCTTAATAATAGAATAGCTATTTATATTGCATTTGTTTCGCAAAAAAAAAAGAAAATAATATTGTTATGAGAAATTAAAAATTTTTGAAATCGCAAAGAATTAATTGTTAAAAAAAGAATCTCTGGAATTTTTTTCCTTACAAAGCTTACTACAACAACAATTATTATATTAAATTCCTTTCAAATCTTTTTCAAAAAACAATTTTTTCGTAATATAAATTAAAATTTTAATTAAATGAAAGAAATTTTTTAACATGAAATTTATGAAAGAAAAATATAGTAAAATATGAATGCCAAATTGAGAAACGATGTTATCAAAGAATTTATTACTACTCGTGTAATGTCAATGTTAGTTACAAAAAGTGTTGAATTCTTTTTTTGCAGATAAAAAAGTAAATTATACAAATTGCATTTGATTGTTACTATCAGTATTTACATATATGTTAATTGAAAAATTATTCTCGACAATTTGAGGTTAGAGGCTAATTATTGTAAAAAAAATAGTTGTATTTACAAAATAGTTAATTTTATTTTTAAAGTTTTAAATAGAAATCATTGTTCACAGTCTCTTGAGTTCACGAAACATAATATTTTTGTTTAGAAACAAATGCATTTTATTCAAAGCAGAACTGTTTGAGCATATATTTACTTAAATCAACACACCACCTTCATTGATTATACAAAAGTCAGTTTTAAATTGATCATAGATTGTGATTTGTTTGAATAAATTATTATATAGGGTCAGTTGGGGTAAATGGGGACAAAATCGCTATTTTTCACAAATTACGTAAGTTTCTTCCTTTAAAAGATAATATTTGGGGACAGCATTGTTTCTAAGAAAGTTTTAAGAAAAAAGTTTCCTTAAGTATATTACTGTATTAAGGGATGAAAAAACTTTTAAAAAAAATTGTAGTAGATACATAATAGTTGAACCAATTGAATTTTTTTTTTATTTCAGTATTTTATCTTGCATTTGAAAAAAAAAGACTTAAAAATCATACCCAATTTTTTTCTTATTTCTTATGACTCCCATAACAGAAATTCACTTGAATTTTTGATTTTTGTCAATTTGGTTAATAATGACAAGCTGTCCCCATTTACCCCAAAAATTCGAAAAGTCAGGGTAAATGAGGACAGCATGTCATTATTAACCAAATTAATTAATTTATGCATTGATCGATAACTTCTTTTATCATGCTGCCAATTGTCAAGATAAAAGCTTGGCAATACTCAAAAACCTCATGCAGGTGATCTGAGGTTAAAATATTGACGTTGAACTTTATTTTAAAACTGTAAATTAAGCACTAAAACCTCTTGTTCCCATTTACCCCATCTGACCCTAATAAAACAATTCTTTCTTTAATTTACTACAAAATTACTAGAAATTCGTCATTCATTATAAATAAGCTAAGAATCAGTTTTTACGATTGAGAAAAATTACAATGCTTATAGAAAAATATAGGTTATGTTTTTATTGTGATTATAATAAAAAGTAGGTGATGTTATTAAGTAATGAATTGAATAAGAAATTAGTTAGCAACAGTATTAAAAATTAGAGGTCCAAATCGCAGTGCGATCATCGATTCCGTCCCGTGAGGGGAAGTAGCCTTCCCTTCCACTACCAGGAATGGATTCTTGCCCGCGTATCCTAAGCCGAACTCGGGACTGGCAGTGCGATCAAGGTGTTGCATAAAATTGCCTGTAATTTTCATTGTATGGAAAAAGACGAATACAAAAGAAAGCTTTGGATAAAATGAATGTTTTGTTGCAATTAAGGCAATTAGTACAGTCATCACTCCTCAGGCGCATGATACTTTGTAAGTTCATACTCCCGTGGTATACTCTAAATCTGAATCAGTGAAATTTTCACTGATTCAGATTTAGAGTGTACATCATTGATATGAAATCAAAGACATAGGCACATCGCAGTTAAACTGCAGAAGGCAAATTAATCGGTACATAACTGCCTCATTCTCATCATTAATAAAATTGAAATCGAAACATTAATTATTACTTATTGAAAAGATATGCATTTGTTTTTAAATTACAGCAACAAAACATTCAATATCAATATCCTGAAAATAAAAATAGAGTATATTTATTAAAGGCCGTAGTACTGATAAACGGCCCCACAGCCATAAGACACACACACAATCATCAATACCATACAATGATCAACCGGAAGCAAAATCAATCGACTTCAAAACTGATCGCGACTGGGTACACACTAAAAAAGAAATCTTGATTTCAGCCAATTTTTGAAGCTGAATTTAAGGTGTAAACGGAGTCAGGCCAATTAAAAAAGGACAGACTTATGCAAAATATATGGGCTTAATTTAAGGTGTAAACGGTTTAAGACTTTGTTTTTACTGTGTAAGAGTTAACCCTCCACAGCCGTCTGCACACCAGCCTCGTAGTCAATCTACTTCACTCCCGACGATACATTAGTTGCTTTTCTATCTCTAAACCTAAATAATAATAATAATAATAATAATAATAATAATAATAATAATAGAAAAAATTGGATTTTTAAAAAATTATGCCAATTAATAAACAGCCGGAAGTAAAATCAATCGACTACAAAACTGATCGCGACTGTGTGAAGGAATATATGGTCAAATCCACGAAACTTCTAACTTTCAAGAAAAAAAAATTTACTTTTTTAAATTTGCAGACACATTGATATCACTTTGTATACACGTTTAAGTACATTTTAGAACTACAAATTCATATGCGTGATTCATTTAATTTATTTCACTCAAAATTTTCCTTAAGCGGCGTTTTTGTGTTCAAATATATGTATGAAAATGTTTCGATCACACCATAGATTGACCTGTTTAAAGCAAAAATGCAGTTGTGCCTTTCAAAAATGTATAAATTTAAATGAATTAAATCACGATTTTTATTATCATCTTTAAATTGTTGCCACAGGAATACAATTAGAGGCACATCATTGAAAAAGGTCTTAAAATTTTTGTTTTTTCATCACTTTTTAAGGGCATCCGGGAGAAAATAATGGTTTTGTAGATTTCTTCCCATTTGAAAAAAATAGAATATTTTAGGTTGTAATATTTTGGAAATAATAGAGGAAGGTACCCTGCCAGGGGCTCTTCTCGAAATTTTGCATAATCTTGATAAATAATTATTAAAAACAATGTTTAAACATTGTCAAAAAGGGGTTTCGTAAATTTCTTCTCATCTTTAAAGAATAAAGTATTTCGAGTTGGCATTTGGAGGAATAATAGAGGAAGGGTCACTGAGTTCATCACTCTTCTCCATTTTTGCAATAATATTGTGAGGAAATTATTTTATTAAAGATTTAAAGTGGAGTAATTTGGGGTAAGTTAGTTCAGCAGCGGCCACTAGCTAGAATTGGCGCCATCATTCAATGTCTGTCCCCACTTCTGTCAAAAATCCAACTTTTATAACCACGATTTTCAATACTTTTCAACAACATTACTTGTAAAAATGGAGATGATTCTTAATCAGCTCGCCCTCATCTAATTAATCCGACAAATCCGAACAAGATATTTCAAGTTATTTACGAGTAATATCTCGCAAGGGAAAACACTTTTAGGTTAGGGATTTTTCCCGGATGGCCTTAAGAAATGCATTGAACTTTTATTTTTATCTAACGCCGAAATAGATATTTTCATAAGAAGATGTTCAATTGAATTTTTTTAAAAAGTGCTATCACTCAATCAAACTTTCGTATTATTAGTTTTAGTGGTGTCACACTAATGGAATAGTGAAAATTTTTTGACAAAATATGTCTGTTAGATATTTCCATAGTAGCTGAAGTCATATTTTACACGCCGCAAAAATCAAAACGTTAAGAATATAAACTTTTCCAAGAATTTCAAATGAAATTTAAGCATTTTTTCACTTTTTAACTTATAAAACTAATTGTCAAATAAATATTTTGTTCTAATACTGTACATAAATGTTCCTTTGTATATAATTTAGCAAAAAAAAAAAAATGATACCCAAAGTTTTAATTAAAAATAATTCAGATTTTTAAGTGTTCCATTCGAGAATCACAAAAGTTAAATGTTTCGTGGATTTGCCTATATATATAAAATATAATATATTTAATATAAACCATTGCTTCTTAACAAATAAAAATAAACGTCTGTACGTGTAAAATGAAAATAATAATGAATTTTAACATTTTTAAGTGAAATAACATATGCCTGAAATCGCTAGAAAATAAGGAGTTTAAATTTAATAACAAAAAATAAAAAATGTAAATATTTAAAAATGTTATATTGTGGGTCGCATGGTGGGGGAAGGTCACTTCCCCTCACAGGACGCAATCGATGACTGCCCGTCCTAACATCATAGAGTCTCATTCTCGCGTTAAAAGCATCTCTCTACCTTTCGGGAACCGGTTGGATGAAATCCATGGGAAAATGGTCGGGCATCGTGAGATCCTTTAAAAGGAATCTCACGGGCATACATATTTTCTCAGGCTCGCACATTCTAAAACTAACCCCCTTAATCTTTAAAGTGCAATTTTTCTCTCTTTTCCGCAATTCGAAGTGTACTTTTCTATTTAAAAGAGGACATAAATTTTAATAATCATAAATGAGCCAAAAGTTTCAAACGTTCAAATGAACAAAATTTTTTTTTTTTGTCATTTCTTTAAGTACGAATTTTATTACAAAATATTGTTTTAAATATTTAAAAAGAAATTATTAATTTAATATTTATTTAATTTACTATTTTATTTTAGATTGACATTATAATTTCTAATAATTTTTATAGATTGAAAAAAATATTTTGTTTATTTAAACGTTCAAAACTTTTGGCTCATAATCATAAACAAAATGACCTTAACTCTCTATCTCTCCAAATTTGCATTAGTCAAACTCTTGACAAGTTGAAATAAATTTTTTTCTACATTAAATAACAATAATCGATCATACAATGTCAAATATTTGAATAATTTAAATTTAGAAAAATAATTTAATTAATTACATGAATTATTCCACGAATAATTATTTATTCCGCTCATCAGTAATTCTTTTAACTCTCTTAGTTTTAAATTTTTTTTTTTTTTTTTTTTTTTTTAATTAAATTCAGTCTTTTGAAACTTTATAATCGATATCAATTCATCAGTCGGGAGTGAACTTGAATTTTTCAGATTTTTTTTTACATGTGAATTGTATAAAAGGTAGAAGCAAGCTTTTGATTACACCTCATGAGACTTTTGCTTATTAGGTTTTTGTAAAAAGGAGAACCGGTAATTTTATTTTTTTCTGTTAATGAGTGCAACACAATGGTAAATGGAATAAGATGTCTGATAACGAATAAAAGTCTCAGATAAAAGCACGTCTATTATGAGGATAATGAAATTTGAGTTTTCACGTTATATATGTACTACGTCAGTTAGGTTTTGAAGTTTCAGAACTCTTTGAAACTCTATTGAAACCACACTTGTAGAGAAGATAGGAAACCACAATTCGACCATCCTTATATATATGTATAGAAAGTTCCATATTGAAGAAGCATACTTGAAACTTATCTAAATTACACGCTGTTTACTTCAATTAGAGTTTAAATAATGGAGTTTAATTAAATTGATTTTCAGGACGCCTGACAATTGTTTTGGATTTCATAAAATACGAATCTTCATTGTCTGAGGAATCACGGGAAAAAACTTACTAGGAAAAAGTTCCAAGGGAATTTAATCTTGAAGGATTCAAGGTAAATTTTTTATTAATTGTTTAATATTCGTCTTATTTTAATTTTTACAATATTACCTGCATGAAGTTGGCGTCGACGCTCAGCGTCGAAAATAATTATTTTTCATGAGACCAAAAATATCAAAACATTTTTTAAAAAGGTTTAGGGTTCACACAATGTCTTAAGAAGTATTTTTCAAGGTATTATTTCGATTGAAAAATTAAAAAAAAAAATGAATTTGAAATTTTTGATTCTACGAAAAACAATTTTCGGCGCTGAGCGTCGAAGCAAACTTCAGGAAGGTACAATATTATATATTTTCCACGTCGATGAAGTTTACAACATTTATGATCAACATGCTTTTTTTTCTCTAGGTAGTTATTTTAAAGTTCAAATGTATATTTTTTTCACGTAAATAATTTTATTTTTGGCCTACTAATTTTTTTTTTGTAAATTGTTAATTGAAAAGCATTACAAAAATGTTTTCAGTCAAACAATTATAATTTGCATAAAATTATATGTTTTCTTCTAAATCGTTGATCATAAACACTGTGAACTTCACCAACGTTATTTCCCGCATAAAATAGAGAAAAAAAAGCATTTTAAACGCATAAGTCATAAAATTCGCAAAGAACCTAACTCAAGTTCTATGTACACTCAAAAAATTGATTTTTATTTAAAATTAAAATTTTTATATTAAACATTTTTTTTTTATTTATTTAGGATTCAATTTCCAAGATGATGAAAGATAAGAAATAATTTACATATTGAAGTGAACTATAAATCTAATTTTATATTATTTATAACTAAAGTAATTATTGTTATATTCCAAAAGGAAATATTGTTAATTAAAAGATAAAAATTTCTTATGTTAAATCTGAGGATCAACTATAATCGGATTTATAGATCTTCTTATCAAGATAAACTTTATCTACAGTTTGAGAAATCGAAACCCACAAAACTGCCAGTTACTGACTTCCCTAACAATAAAAGAAAAATGCTTTTAACTGGTTTAGACTGTTAAAGCAATCAACAGCTTAACTGCTAAAGTGGTCAATCGGTTGTCTCTTTAAAGTGTCACCAAACTTACAAACAGATTAATTTTTAAACTTGTTGAAAATTGATAAAGATCAAAGAAAATTATTTAGAATAATGTGTTTCATTTAAAACAAAAAAAAAACATTTACTTAAGATTTTATCTTTTATTTTGGAGGGTTTTCCTTATCGTTTGACCCAGTTTGTTATTTCAAAAAAAAAAAAAAAAAAAATCGGACAAATGCGAGTTATACTCGCAGTGAAATCGAGGGTTCCGTACTCAACGCGAACTTATTTGGTATAAAAACAAATGTTTAAAAAATATGTGTTGTATGACAAATAATATAAGTGATACGAAAAGGAACAATTTTCTTGAATTTTACAAAATTGTTCCTTTTTGTATCACTTATTTTATTTGACATACAACACATATTTTTTAAACATTTGTTTTTATACCAAATTTTTTGTAATCTACACGTAAAAATACGTTAAAATATATAAATTTGATTTCCTTTAAATAAAATTTTGTTCGTTTTTGGTGGAAAAATAGATTTTTTTTTCTAAAATTGTCATTTTTTCTTGAAAAACTTGATAAAAAGTTAATCATCAACTCTAATCGTGACCGCTTTTTTTTCCTATATTTTTCCCGTAAAAATACATTTGTATACTAAATATGAACTGTCTGGGTTGGATATTGTTTGCGCTAGGGAGAAAAAATCAGTTTTTTTCGAAATTTTTTATTTTTCCTTGACAACGCTATGTAAATTGATACGAATCAAGTTCGCTATATTTGTCCTGTAATTTTCACGTAAAAATACGTAAGTGTGCCAAATTTGAGCTTTTTATATCAAAAGATGTGGCCGCTGGGGGGGGTACATAGTCGTTTTTAGGCATTTTTCGTACACGATTTAAAAAAAAACCGATATTAATAGAGTACAGAACCCTAAAAAAAAAAAAAAGAAAAAAAATGTTCTACTTTAAAGAAAACACAGATCTTGTCATTTTAAAATAGTGAATGGATTTTTTTATATAATTAAAATTCAGAAAATGTATATTTTTCTTTCTATAATGAGAGTTGAAGAATAATATTTTAAATGAAATGGTAATGACGATAAATTTGACCTTTTTAATTCACAAGAAACGTCGTTTTGAGTCTCTATAGAGGTTACATTGAAATAATTCAACTTTGTTGAGGTAGGGTTGATTTTCTGTATGTCCGTTTCCTTTGCCCTCACTTTTAACACAATTAGTAACATCACACGACACACCACTTACGTTTACCTAACGATGTTTGACCCAAAAAGAGATGAATTTCAATGGAGAAATTCCCTAGAAATTTTATCACGAGAGTACGAAACTGTTTAAATTATTCAGCTCGTGAAAATTTATTTCTCTACTTCGGTTTGATGTATTTTAAAAAGGCTTTTTTTCAAGCATTAAGTAAGTTCATTGCTATTCAATTTGAAGTTAACGAGGCACTGAATATTTTGTGTGAGGAAAACTAGGGGAAAAGAAAATATTAAATTTTGTAGTTTGTAAATTTTTTTTTTTAATTTTTATTTTTAATAGGAAATTTGTGTAAATTTTGCCTCATCTCTTTTGAAATGGTCAATGCTCCGGATATTACTTGGCGTTACCAACAAATGTAACGGTCCTCCTACAACTTCCATGACAATGTTTTATGGTTACAAAGATCACTCAGGTGTGATAGTAAGAAAAATAACTATTTTGTCATAATCATAAAAAAGGATTGTTACTTAAATAGGTTAATAAAATTTAACGATTTTTGCAACGATATAATTTTTTTGGAACAGTAACCAGAAATTATTATTTATTTATTTTGCATTAAGTCTAATTGTTAAATTTAAATGACAATATTTTCATTTTTTTTTATCTCTACTATAGTTTAAATGTAATTTATTCAGTGTTAATTAAGAACATTAAAAATTTTCACATTTAATTATTTTCATATGAGCCAAAAGTTTTGAACGTTCAAAAAAATTTTTTTACTAGTTCTTTAAGTACAATTTTAATTACAAAATATTGTTTGAAAAAAAAGAAGTTATTAATTTAATATTTGTTTAATTTACTGTTTTATTTTACATTGACATTATAATTTTTAATAATTTGAACTTTCAGAACTTTTGGCTGATATTTTCATAAATATTTGAGTATTTTAAATTTAACCAATTATCGAAAAAAGGGAATATATAATTCATTTGAATTTTCATCATATCAAGCATATTAATTTCTAATGAATTGTAGTCTGTAAATTTAATTTCTTAATTAGATATTGAAATTCCATATTGAGAGCTTTTTCAAATTATTAAAGAACAGAGAATATAATTTCTGTTCACATTTTTTTTTAAGGCTTCTTTTTTTTGTTTTTATTTTTTTGTGCAAGTCCTTGACGAATAAGAAAAGAAGTACGCAGGAAATTCTAGAATATATCTGCAATTCAATCGATTTAGAAAAGAAAATGCGAACCAAAGATAACACGTGTGCTCATCCAATTTGCCTTAGTATGTCGATATCATTTTTATATACATATCATTCTGAGTTTATAAATGTAATTCTTCTCCTATTTTCCTCTATTCAACTATACAAGCTTCGCTTCTTATCCTATTGATATGATTAGAACATCATTATAATATATTTATATAAGAGCTTTCTTGCGAGTTTATTATATAATATTCATTTCAGTATATTCTCGATTATTATTTATTTTTATTATTATTATTATTATTATTATACTGATTCCATCAAATGTTATTTCTTATTGTAAAAGTAATTTTTTTATTATTTTTTTATGACTAAATGAAATTTTTTTTTTTTAGAGAATTTTGAGGTAGTTTTTTTTGTGAATTTTATTCCTTATGTGTGTAAAATGTTTTTTCTCTATTTTATGTGGAAAATATATATATATATATATATATATATATATATATATATAAATGACATTCCTTGGGGATTTACTTCGGTGTAAAAAAAAAGAAAAAATCGGGCGTATCTTGATGTAAACATGAGAATCATGAAAAGAAAATAGTACGTCACTGCTTGCATAATGGCAACATGAGTTTGAGATGCATTACTTGGTATGCAACACATTTGCTGTTTGTTAGACTCTTCGGGATATATACTCTCGTCTCGCTTAAAAATATTGTGTGTTAAATATAATTAAAAATTAGATTTTTTTTTTTATAAATTTTATTATCCAAAAAAGAACTTTGAATACATGCAATTTTCATTCACTTGAATTTGGACAATTTCTTATTTCTATTATTTAGGGCTCAAAGTCCTATAACACAGAATAATTATAATTTATAATTAATTCATTACAATTAACGAACGCAGCAGAATAATAATTTAATTTCTTGTTTATCAATAATGTTTGTGATTTTTGGTTTTAATTTTATTTTTGTATTTCATTTTTTTAAACATTATTATAAATTTGAATTTTGAGAATTGTTTTTTTTTTTTCAATTTTATTTCAAAAATTTTGCATATTTGTTTTATTGAATGCATGCTTAAAAATTTGCATTAGAATATTAGTGTTTTTAAAGAATTAATGAAATTTATTTATTTATTCATTTACACTGGAAAAAAAGTTATTTTTGATTTAAATAATTGGTTACTTGACTATTATCAAATAATTATTTATTTGTATTAAATAATTATTATTTGAATCAATTAATTGGTATTAGTTTCAAAACTAAAAATAATTTGTTCAAATATACATATTTATTTAATTCAATTAAAAATTATTTGATTCAAGTAAATATTTATTTGATAATAGCCAAGTAACCAATTATTTAAATCAAATACATGTTTTTCAGTGTAATATTTAATACTAACAATAATGAATATTTAATAATAAATAGAATATTTATTAACTAATGAAATTTATTAAGAATTACAAATGTATCGACTTTTTGTGATTTTTGTTTATAATGTAATGCGACTAAAGTGACTTTTTTTTGCGTCGT